CTCCCGGCTCTTGCCTTGCAATTCTGCCCGAGCTAACGCCGCTACGCCACGCACGCGCAATTCATTTACTACGGGAATTAGTTACAGCGTCTCTCTCTCCATGTCTCTACTCATTTCTCTTCTCCGTCTGCTATCGCCGACGCCGGCCCACTGGAAGCCGCCGCTCCGCCGCTGGACCCAGCCTCAGTAGCTTAGGTTTCCCGGCTCGACCCCATCGCCGGATTGCGTCGTAAGTATGGAAGCGGCCCGCGACTCGGTCGTTAGATGAAGAATGAGCACGCTGAATGGACCAGGCCGGGGAAGCACCACCAGAAACCTGGAAGGTAGGAAGCGGTGAATTAATCAGTGGAGATGTGGCAGGCCGGGAAGCCACCAACCAGAACCTGGAAGGGAGGAAGACGGCCTTGAATAATCAGGCGAGATGATGGCAGGCCAGGAAGCCACCACCAGAACCTGCGAACGCGTGGAATAATCAGGGCAGATGGACAGCGCAGTGTACGACCTGCCCGTGAACCGCATTGCCAAAACAACAGCAACAGCAGTAATACTTGCGTAAGCGATAAGTTTAACAGAGATGGCAACTGACGAAGAACAATGATGCATGATTGCATGATGATGACAAAAATAATAATAATGGATTGAGGCAGCGAGTTATCCAGACACTGAATGAACAGCGATATAATGTAGGCGACATAACCGCCGCACTTCACTAATTGGCATGCAGAGTTATTGTCGTCCCACAGTGTTAGCGATTACGCACGCACAATACTCACTCGATCGAGGTACATGTTGAGTTCCCTTGTCCAGTCCGGGTCAGTACGCCATGAACGCAGCTATGCGCCGGTCTCAAACCACGCAGCCCAAAAGTTCATCAAGCTGGTTCCTGCCGATGCATTTAGAAAACCGCACGCACACATCCTACCATTAGTCACCATCACTTTGTAGCACGAACAAGTTTCCCATGCCCCAAATATGCGTCGCCACTAAAATCGCTGAGAAGCGTACTGAACGATACTTGCCTTCCCCTACGTACGAGCTTTACTAAAATGCGAATAATTATTACCAACCCACCCAGACCTGGTGTCTGTGACAGCCTCTCTCAGACACACTGTACACCGTTACTCATATGAAATGTTATGATTATTCATACCATGACAAAGTACTGACACCGGCATCTGCAAATGATTACCATCCTCTCTTATCCAGCATTGTTTTGCATGGAATAATGGTTGGTGGATAATTTAACCTGATATTCAGAAAATAAACTAAAGAATGGAACGAGAAGGTGTGCACAATCCCCACTGCTGACGCCAATTATCGTATTTCACGGCCGCTTTATAAGACACAGTTTCTTACCAACATCAAGCCCACAGTTAATGCTTTGACAGCATTGCTAACTCACTTTCATGTCTCCCCACTAGTTAACTCTTCCGCGCACTACTCACTTCATTGCTCCCATAGTTAATCCGCGCACTACTCACTTCATGCTCCCACTAGTTAACTCTTCCACGCACTACTTCACTTCATGCTCCACTAGTTAACTCTTCCGAGCACTACTCACTTCATCTCCCACTAGTTAAACTCTCCGCGACTTACTCACTTCATGCTCCACTAGTCAACTCCTTCCGCACACTACTCACTTCAAGCCTCCCCACTACGTTAACTCTTCTCTCACTACTCACTTCATGCTCCACTGGGTTAACTCTTTCCGCACACTACTCACTTCATGCTCCCACTAGTTAACTCTTCCGCACACTACTCACTTCAAGCTCCCACTAGTTAACTCTTCTGCGCACTACTCACTTCATGCTCCCACTAGTTAACTCTTCCGCACACTACTCACTTCATGCTCCCACTAGTTAACTCTCCGCACACTACCTCACTTCATGCTCCCACTAAGTTAACTCTTCCGCCACACTTACTCACTTCATGCTCCCACTAGTTAACCTTCTTCGCCCGCACTACTCACTTCATGCTCCCACTAGTTAACTCTTCCGCGCACTACTCACTTCATGCCCTGCTGCAGGACACTGTTGCGGCGAGTCTTACAGATGATCAGATCAGCCCACTGCACGACGACGATGGAGACGAAGAACGCTGTGTGGCACGTGTACTCCAGGATCTTACGGTTGCGGTACGTCTGCAAGCACACACGCGGCTCGTTACCGACGGTCTAATCACGTAAGATCAAACTGTCATCGACACTCGGTATTGCTTATTAATGGTGGCTGGTTAATTGTTATCACTGTGTGGAATTGCTTGCAAATGGTTGGTGAATTGTTATCAATGTATGGAATCGCTTGCTAATTGTTGGTTAATTGTTATCACTGTGTGGAATTGCTTTGCTAATGGTTCTGCTCGTGAATGCTATAATTACTTTTACAATACAAGAATTTGCTATCATAACTTTACAATACAAGAAGAATGTCTTGTTCACGGCCGGTTAATTGTTATCATGTGGAATATATTACTAATGGCCGGTTAATTGTTATCATGTGGAATATATTACTAATGGCCGGTTAATTGTTATCATGTGGAATATATTACTAATGGCCGGTTAATTAGTTATCCATGTAGAATATTATTACTAATGGCCCAGTTAAATTGTTATTTCATTGTGGAATATATTACTAATGGCCAGTTTAATTGTTATCATTGTGCCAATATATTACTAATGTTCCGCGTTTTAATTTGTTATCATGCTGGAATATATTACTAATGCGCCGGTTTAAATTGTTATCATGTGGATATATTACTAATGGCGGTTAAATTGTTATCATGTTGGAATATATATTACTAATGCGCCGGTTTAATTGCTATCATGTGGAATATATTACTACATTGGCCTGTTTAATTGTCTATCATGTTAGAATATATTACTAATGGGTCGGTTAATTGTCATCATGTGGAATATATTACTAATTATAGTTGATTAATTGTTATCATGTGGAATATATTACTAATGGTTGATTAATTATCATGTGGAATATATTACTAATGGTTGGTTAATTGTTATCATATGGAACAGATTATTAACACGTTCAACGCTGCCGGTGTTAACAATGCACCTACCGGCTACCGCCCTGCGCTGGGTTTTTCGCGTTTTTACCGCGTATTCACTTATTGATTCACCACATTTCCTTTGCAGGAAAGCTAACCAAACTGACACATTTACTCTGCATGAGTGTTATCTCACCCTTACACGTTCAGATAGTATGGAAATCGTTCTCTTTCATAATAACATATTGTTATGAAAACAGGGCAAAAACGAACATTTCGTGCATTTTCGTCTCAAATGCCACCACACCGGTGGATTTTCGCGAGTTTGTTATGATATCGTTTGACAGTATACTATGTTTTCCGGTAAGAAATGTGACAACGCTTACACATGTGTGGGGTATGAACCTCGTTTTGTTTTTCTACATGCAAAAATACCTCGAAATTTTACATACTACACAGTTATTATATTATATACCGTTAGGAAAACGGTAAACAAACCTTGTTGAATGGACTTTAGCCCCGAATTTACATTGAGTCTCAAAACTCCCAATTTCACGTTCGAATCAACAGTAAAGCATTGTATTCCTTAGCTCATGTAAGACTGGGGTAATATAGACTGTCCCTGTTTAATTTCTAGGTAGGTAGTGCCTGCCATCTGTTGGAAATCAGAGTAACAAAAACCAATAATCTCTGCACGAGCTGACTTGTGGATCCGCAGGGAACGTGTTAATTGTTGGTCCATTGTTATCGCCATGAACGAGTACACGACATTACGATCGTCATTCGAAGCAAATCTTCAGCGTCATTCAGACCAACATTGCGGTTAGAGCATCGTCAGCCCGCAGCACACGCTCGGGCAGTGCTACGGAGCATTAACCGCGTGCGCGCGCGCGAGAGAGAGAGAGAGAGACACGCACCCATTCCTGGCCGTAGGAGTCAGCGAGGTTGTTAACGGCCCGGGAGTCCCACTCGGCGCGTATGCCCAGCAGTGTGTCGAGCCTGAATCCGTTTGAGCCCATGATGACGAAGTAGACAAAGAAACCAGCTGAAGCCTGCATCATGCCGATCTGTCCGTATGCCATCGAGATCAGACGCGCGTTCACCTATAACGACATCAACAAACAGCAACTGTAGCAACAGCTACAAACAACAACTATAACAACGAACAATACAGCAACAAACATATCATCACCATCATCGTTGCCTTCCTCATCGCAACCAGTCGGTCGGCGTAGATTGCACCACTAGCCCCCCTCAGCCGCACGCACGCACGCACGCACGCACGCACACACACGCTGCGGCCTCGACGATACAGTGAAATGGTATTACACAACAAAATGATCTTCGTCGTCGACACGGTGCGTGCACACACGCACGCACGCACGCACGCACGCACACGACCGAAGCTCTGCAGACGAACTAAAAAACGGACCTACCATACACAGACACACGACGTACGGTATATACGCATAGTACACACACCACCGCCGCACATGGCAAATATACGGGGTAGGGCACACACCTATGTATTGTATGTACGTATTACTCGCAGCATATATGTATATCAAGAGTAGATTATAGAGATTCTCTATTATCTACTCTTGATCTAGATGTATGTATATGTCACACACGACTCCCCGCCCGGATGGAGAAAAACACGGGGCGAATCGTTTGGCTGCAACGAAGAAAGCCGTCGTTCGCCACCCCACCACCAGGGGGCGCTGCAGGAAAGCGAGGCTTCCTCGTACAGTAAACACACGCACACACGCACGCACGTACGAACGTCTACAACCTACTACGCGTACACGAGAATAGAGGACACACGTAGAAAAAAGAAACGCGCTTGCACGGCGAAAACGCGGTTGTTTTGCATATATTATCGTGGATGTCTGCGCACGCACGAGAGAGAGAGGGAAACAGGCGGGCTACGTAAGCTGACGTGTCGACGCCGAACGATGGGCACTGCCGTGCTGATTACTATATTATGATAATATACACATCGGTGTCGATATGTATGTATATGTATGTATACATATACGGGAACACGGAAACACGGAATACACACCCTCTATACTAGCTCTAGCTACGTAGCCCCTCGCACAGCCGCACAGGGGCGTCATGAGTACAGGTATACCCCCCTGCCTATACATGCTGCACCGACCATAAATGCTGCAAGACGCGGAAGCTGCCCTGCGTGACGATGTACGAATGAATGAACGAATGAATATGAGTGCTTCGCTGTCCACCCTTCGCGGACACCGAGAACTAGTGTGCGTTCCTATATCATATACACATATATATTTATATAGATCACTATTAAATTATGTCAGTCAACAACAACACGGACTCTAGACCTACGTCACCTCTATTAAGCCGTGGCAGTTATTATTAAAGTTACGACTATCTCTCTACGTCCTTTACCGTTACATATCACACCTGTTACACTAGATTGACCGGCTGGCCGTTGTAAGTAACTACCACGTGAAGAAGGTGCAAACGATGACGAAGAACAAGGTGGACCCAGGTGAAAGCAAAACATCGGGTTAGTCAACAAAAACTTCGAACAGAGAGCAACAGATGTGAGACGGCACATGCGGACGAAGTTCCCCAATCACACGGACATCACTACCAGTACAGACGCGCGCGATCACTCCAAGTATCACACAAGTACAAACACACATTTACCGTATCACGCGTGTATACACATGCACAAACTCACCCTTATTACGTGTGTACACACAGGTACACACACACCATCACCAGGCGTGTATACACAAGTACACACACACACGCACGCGCACGCGCGCGCGCGCACGCACGCACGCACGCACGCGCGCACGCACGCACGCACGCACGCG